GCCTTTTTTGTCTTGGGGACACTCATATCCCTGACAAATGCTCGGTGTAGAAGTGGTTTCCAAAAGGACTTTGATGGGCAGGGGTACGTCTTAAAACATTTTTGTTAGACGCTCCATACGGCCAGTCTTTGATCAGTGCAAGGCAGTTCCCCTGGACAAGTGCAACCTCAGTCTAGAAGTGCCGCGGTGAGTTCCATCTCCACTGGCTCCCAATCTCTATCTTCAAAGACCATTCCAGCTTTGGACTCAGGTAGGACTGAAAAAAACAGGTGGTCAGAGAAGAGGGAGCATTTTCCTTAGGGAAGAGCAGAGGCAGATCCCCACTGGGAATTCCCAGTTAAGAAACCCAAATCACCTCACTGTTCCTAATTGAAGGAGAGTCCACAGCCTGAGCTGGGTGCTGTGGGAGCTCTGAGTCTGCACAGTACTGGGATTCTGACACTGTCTCAAGGTTCATAGCTATTTGCCTCTAGAACCAGGCCATAGCATGAGGTTGTACCTTGGCACTGAGCACTTCTGTGCTGGCTCTTTTTGTATCAGCTCTGTCAGTACTGGCCTGGCTGGCACTGCTCACGTTTCCACTTAATGTGTTGGTACTGGACACATGTCACCATAAACCCTTAATGCTTTCTATTCCCACACTGAGATTTATGGCTTCATCCCTCTTGGTACTGAAGAAGTTTGCAATATTGAGGGATCTTCAGGTGTAGAATGAGCTGAAATCTCCACTGCTATCCAGAGGGTTAAATATCCCCACCATGGTAGCATTCCCCTCTACCTCTGAGGCACTGGGTGCTTCCCCAATGCCAGTTATATCCAGATTTACATCACAACTTAGCACTCTAGCTTTGCCTGCCCTTCCCCCTCCCTTAGACGTGAGATGCTCTTTTTCACCTTCACATTCTCAGCACAGGGAGGAGAGATCACCTGCATATGCTACAAGGGCACCCTTGTTTGAACCTTCTGATTCGGAGAGAGAGTCAAGGGCTTCATAGATGTGTAGATCTGTTAGGGGATATAGAAGTGGGCATATGCTTTGGTATCCTTCTCCTTAGCTCCCAGGCCCTTTTCCTTACAGTGTTCCCGTGTGGACCTATTGTAACCCCCGTGGTCTTTACCCCTTGAGATATCACACTCCTGCACCCCCTCCTAACATAAGAACCTCCTCTCCTGTACCTTTCCAAGGACCTGGGGTGTCTTAGCTTTCAGCCCATGAATCTGAACCCCCTGAGGACCTATCTAAGGAGGAGCACTTTAGGATGAGGATCAGACAATGCCAGTTGCAATAACATTTTTGTCCCTGAATGTCCCATCCACACCGTCTCACCCACATGACGAGAAAAGATTGCAAGATCTGCTCAGACATATAGTCAATTCCCTTGAGATGCTGGCGGAGAAGGGACAAGAAACCCCATGTAAACTGTTGGACATTCTCCATGTCTTTGTGCCTGGGCACCTGGTACTTCCCATCAATAAGCTTTTAAATAGTGCTTAGCATCCATGGCAAACATCAGTGACAGTAATTTCTACCACTATAAAAGTAGGTAAGAGGTACCAGATGTATCCACTGGGGTGTGGTAGCTATACACTCAGCCAGTATCGGGCTCACTAGTGGCTGTAGTGACCAGTGAAAGGAACTGTCGTCAGCAGCCAAGAATGACAGAGAGATGAGGAGTCAAAGTGACTCTGTTTATTGGGATGTAAGAGTTGTTTGTTTGCCAGCCAATAGTTTTTGACTGCAAGTTATAAGGCATTATTGGTGTGATTCGACCTTTTAAAATTACAGTAAATTTTCAGACTTTGACAAACTCTCACAGGAGAACAGAGAGGAGTTTAAATTTCTGATTTCAGAAGGGTGGTTAATTCCCAAGACATCCATGTAGGCAGCTCAGGATGCTGCCGATACTGCATCCTGGTCCATGGCAGTATCCATTGTTATGAGGCTGGCATGCTGGCTCCAAGATTCTGGCATCCCAAGAGAGGTGCAATCGACCTTTCAGGGCCTGAATCTTTTTGGTGCAAAAACCCACAAGCCCCCTAACTTGTTAAAGGATTACTAGGCCATGTTTCATTCTTCTGGAGTTTATACATCAACTCCTAAGAAAAACAGGGGAGACCACACTCTTATGCTTGGCAGAGACCTTCACATAGTACCTTTTTCCACCAGTGAGCCTCCATGAAAGAGACATCCTTTAAAAAAAATAAAGGGGGGGGAAAGAAGACCACTTGCTTCCGCTATGACTTCATCCCTTTTTGCATCTACATGAAAACAATCATTTTGATGGGTTGGCAGAGAGTCACGCTGTGGTCAGTCTTCTGGCTCCGTACTCTTCCTTCCCCTCATTTGGGAATTGCGTTCAATTTTTCAACGAGTCATGGAACTTGATAACAGTCAGGTGGGCCCTAGAGATCATTTCAGTTGGATCTTTTCTTCAGTTCCGTATTACACCTACCCACAGCCCCTTTCCTACCCTTTTCAGCGACCCCCTTCATAAGAGACTGTTATATCAGGAGGTGGCCTCACTTTTTTGTCTCTGATCTATAGAGAAGATTCCCTTACAATACAGAAGGAAAGGTTTTTACTCCAGTTACTTTCTAATACTGAAGATAAAGGTCTTGTCCTGCCTATTTGGACAAATGGCCTCCTGCATGGTCATCTAGCAGCATTCCAGAATACACTTACTTTGCATACAGAGCTGGTTAAAATCCGCATATGCACGGAGCAGACACCATTTGGACATGCCTCTTCAAATCCTTCACAATGGTCTCACGTCTTTAAATTAGTGGAAGGACTTCAACCTGAGAGTTCCTTTTTTTCCCATCCCACCCAATCAGAACTTTAGTGACCGATGAACATTCTGTCTCTTCTGGAACGGGGAGCACTTATGGGCTGTCCTCAAGCACAAGGTCTGTGGACCCATGAGGAGACTTTTCTATATATAAACCTATTAGAGCTCAGAGTGGTTCACAGAGCCTGTACTCCTGTACTTCCTACCAGTGATCCAAATACTGATCATTCAAGTTATGACTGACAGTATGACAGGCAAGTTTTATATCGACAAGCAGAGGTGGGTTTGTTCTTCCCCTTTCTATCAAGAAGCGGTCCGTCTATAGAATGGGAGCATTTGGCATCAATATGTCTCGTGGCAATTCATCTCCCAGATCTACGGAATGCACTAGCAGACCGCCGGAGCAGATGCTTTTCATTAGACTGACTGGATGATCAAGGATTCTGATGAGACCAGCGTTGTCACTGGTATGCACATTGGTGTATTCAATGCATAGCAGATAAATTACTTCGGTTTAATTTGATTAAAATTAAGCAAATTAATGTTAGAGCAAGTCCATTTTTGATTTTGAATCTAACACCAAGAAAATCTACTGTAAATAAATGAATAAATGCAACAGCCAAAATCTTTTCAAGGTGGGGATATTTTCACTGATGGTCAGGTGACAATGCAAGCCAACACATCCGAAGTTTTTATCTAAAAAGCAAAGTGGTAACTAATGTAAGAAGTGCATTATAGTTTGTCACTGACCTAGATTTCTTCCATTACTCTAGTAATTCAGCAGTATTAGATTTCCAAATAAAATGTTAAGGAAAATAGAATTTACATTTAATGAGCATTTAAATAGATCAATGAACATAGATTTTAAAACTCCTAATTGTTAATTTCGGGAGAATGAAGTCTTTTAAATACAGTTCTTTATTCCCAGAGTTCAATCTGGTAAGATGCCTGATTTGACTCTTAATTGTTATATATTCTCTCTAAAGATCATAGAGTTGAAGGGTTTACTTGTGCATTTATTATGTAGAATATATTCTTAGAAGGATAACATAACTTAAACTGTGAGTGACCACTATGTTTCAGACATTGGGTTGCATGGTTTGCCACAGATACACCTCTGCCTCGATATAACGATACCCGATATAAAACGAATTTGGATATAACGCAGTAAAGCAGTGCTCCGGCGGGGCAGGGCTGTGCACTCCGGTGTATCAAAACAAGTTCAGTATAACGCGGTTTCATCTATAACGTGGTAATATTTTTTGGCTCCCGAGGACAGCGTTATGTCGAGGTAGAGGTGTACATGTATTGCATTGGAGACATGAGGTTCTGATACTCGTCCTTTTGCCTTAGTAGTCAATTTAAAAACAAAATTTTTAGGTTAGATGTAATTAAATACCTCTTCGTGTATAATTTGAAAGTGATTCCTGCATCCAAGATAACCAAGCTGATAAACTTATCTAAGCGAACTTTAATGCTGAAGAGTGGGGTATGTCAGCTCAAGATAATCTACTACTGCATTTAACAGGAAGCGCAATGAAATTGTTGTATTGTGATATATAATTGTTAATATAGTGAGGCTTTTTTCCTTTGGCCTAGTGGTTAAAGTGGGATCCAGAGATAGCTGGCTTGGAGTCCTAGCTCTTCTGTGTGCCCTTAGACAAATCATTTAGCCTGTCTTTTTCCCCTTTTTTATAAAAAGGAGATACTTGCCTTTCTCTCAAGGTATTGAAGCTAAATCTATTTGTAAAACATGTTTGAACCCTCAGAGGAAGGTGTGGTAGAAGTTATAATGATGGTGGTAGCAAATCGGAGTGCAGGAATTTGCATGGTTAAGCTAAAGAATGGTTAGTATACAAAATGCAGGGATTTGCATTCTGAACAGCTGCTGAAAAGTACAGTCGTCAGTAACTGTTGATTGGCTCATACAGCTATTTGCTCCTTCTACTACTTCAATCTACTGAGAATGGATTCTTCAGTTATGTGCTATATTTAACTGGGATCTGTCACAAGAGTGTAAACAGTTAACATAGTACTGAGGTAGGTACATTTACACCAGTTATTTACTGAACTGTGTGCTTAGTTCCAGAATAGCCCTACTCAAAAAAATCATATCTTTTCTAGTTAGCTTATTGGCTGACTGGGTACACATGGGGAGAAACTGGTATAAGGGCCAGGTTCTTGCCTCCTTTGTCTACATTTAAATGTACTGTGATGACATCGGCAGCACATATACTAAAATTGGAATGATACAGACAAGATTAGCATGGCCCCTGAGCAAGGATGACACGCCAATTCGTGAAGTGTTCCATATAAGGGGTGGAGGGATAGCTCAGTGGTTTGAGCATGGCCTGCTAAACCCGGGGTTGTGAGTTCAGTACTTGAGGGGGCCATTTAGGGATCTCGGGCAAAATAATCTGTGAGGGATGGTACTTGGTGCTGCTGTGAAGGCAGGGGACTGGACTCGACTTTTAAAGGTTCCTTCCAGTTCTACATTTCTATGATTCTATGATACTGCTTTCATTTGAACTACATATAACCCATGCAGTGGTGTGATGTTTTTACATTCCAGTCACAGACCATATACCTTCTGCCTCAAGTTCTGAGGAAGATGAAAGAATGGAGCATCTTGATTGCTCCCGGGTGGCGCAGGCAGTTCTGGCTCCCAAGCATTCTCCAAATGTCCCAATATGCATCCATATTCAGCTCTTCCCAGACTTCTTGACTCAGGACAGAGGCATGGTATTTGTATGAGCAATGGACCTAGAAAATCATGCTTGGAAGTGATACAATCCATCCTGAGCAATAGTGAAAGAGATTCCATGAGGAAATGCTACACAGCAAAATGGAAAAGATCCAGCATTGCCAGATACCCCCAGAGGGAGCCAAGACCCCTACTATTCTGGACTATTTCCTCTTTCTAAAAATGTCGGAACTATCTCTCAGCTCCTTGCAGGTCCACTTGGCAGCTATTAGTGCCTTTCACCATCTGGTGGATAGCCATTTGTCTTCGCCCATCCTATTACAGTGGGGTTTCTAAAGGGACTTTTGAGAACCTCTCCTTTGATACTGAAACCTAACCCAACATGGGATCTCAGCCTATGTCCTATTGGCATTAATGGAGGCTCCGTTCTAACCCTTAGCCTTGTATTCCTTTGTTTATCTATCTTTGAAGATTGCCTTTCTGGTTGCCATCGCCTCAGCCAAAAGAGATGGGGAGGTGGAAGCTCTTGTGGCTGATCCACCTTATATAGTCTTCCATAAGGACAAAGTTTTCCCGGAGTTTACTTTCAAATTCATTCCCAAGTAGCCATGTAATTTCCTCTAAATCATGTTATCCATGTACTTGTCATGTTCTGAAGCTTCATGCTACCAAATAGGACAAAAAACTACACTCTGGATGTATGTCGAGCCTTGGCCTTCTACCTGCAGAGGGCAAAACCCTTTAGAAAATCCCCAAAACGCTTTGTCTCCTTTGCTGGGGAATGAATGAGAGGTGTAGCCTTGCATGCATATATGTACATTGATTAATACTGTAATGCAAGTAGTGAGTCAACAGACCCAAGGCATATAAGGTAAGGATGGCTTAGCATAACTAAGGATTGGGCTTGACATGATTAGATAACAGGCAAGTGACCTTAATAAAGTATAACAGTATGCAAGTATTAAAAATTAGTCAACTAGTGTTAAGTAAGAAACCACAAACACAGGTTACAGTTTAGGATATTTTTAGGCAATATGTATAACTGAAACGCACAAGATTTGATTGTAATATTCCTGTAAGAACATAAGAATGGCCAAGCTGAGTCAGACCAAAGGTCCGTCTAGCCTAGTATCCTGTCTTCCAACAGTGGCCAATGCCAGTTGCTTCAGAAGGAATGAACAGAATAGGTAATCATCAAGTGATCCATCCCCTGTCGCCCATTCCCAGCTTCTGTCAAACAGAGGCTAGGGACACCATTCATGCCCATCCTAGCTAATAGCCATTAATGAACTTATCCTCCATGAATTTATCTAGTTCTTTTTTGAACCCTGTTACAGTCTTGGCCTTCACAACATCCTCTGGCAAGGAGTCCCACAGGTTGACTGTGCGTTGTGTGAAGAAATATTTCCTTTTGTTTGTTTTAAACCTGCTGCCTATTAATTTCATTTGGTGACCACTAGTTCTTGTGTCATGAAGAGTAAATAACACTTCCTTATTTACTTTCTCCACACCAGTCATAATTTTATGGCAACCAATTGACATAAATGCTAATGAGTTTGATTTAAATGGTTAATTAGCCTATAGGAAATGGGGGACTTCAGCAAAACTGGGGTGTGAAGTTCAGATAAGGAAAAAGGGGCTGAAACCCTCATGAAAATGTTAAAGTTACAAGGGTGTCAGCGTAACGCATTATAAAAAATGTTACCTGGCCTGTGTGCTGTGGGAGACACCAGTGATGATGAAGATGATGATGAGGATAATGACTGACACTTTTGGTTTCCCTGCAAAGGATGGTGTAAATAATACATGTGCTGTATGTTGTGTATTATTTCTAACTCATTTGCTGTGCTATGTTTGTGGTTCTGTGTGCTGTGCTAATAGAATTATTGATTCAAAAATTATTCCAAAATTGTAAGTGGTTCTCATCTTCTCATTGAGATTCTCACACTAATGACAATTCTGATGCTGTAGCTGATCTGGCTGAACCCTGCCGGTCTAGTCTGTGTTAAACAATCAATTATAATCTATATCCAAACTATAGATCTGGTGACAGAGGGGAAGCAATCTTCTTACACAGACTTTCCAAATGGATTTTGGCTTGTGTCCGGCTTTGTTACAAGGTAACTGTGAATCCCTCCCCAGTAAGGTTTGAGGGCTTACTCAACGAGATCCAGGTTGCAGCGATAGCTTCACTTTGAGATGTCCCTCTTCTGGAGACCTGTAGAGCTCTATTCGCATCTTTGCCAAACATTATGCTCTGGTACAAGTTTATTCAGCACATGAACCTGTAGGCAGAGCATTCCTCCAGTCAGAGGTAGAGCAAGATTCTGTACACACTTCTCCTCAATGAATACTGCTTGTGAGTCACCTCAAGTGCAATACACAAAGGGACCATTACTCAAATTAAAAAGAAAGGTTATTTACCTGTATAGTAACTGGAGTTTTTCAAGTTGTGTGGTTCCTATCTGTATTTCACTCCCCACCTCCTATCCCTCTGCGTCAGAACCTTATCCTAGTGCTGTTCACAGTAGAAAAAAGTAGAGAGGCAGTTGGTCAATGCTGCCACTTATGCCCTCATTTCAGAGCGCTAGCGCGGACCAGTGAAAATCTTCTGGTCTCAGGAGTATAAAGTATGTGCACACCTTGCGAGGAATACAGATAGGGACCACACAGATACTATACAGATAAGTAATCTTTCTTTTGGGTTTATTCACGTTATTTTTTGTCTTGTTTGATTTTCTTCTACTTATACCTTGAAAGTGTGAATCTCTGCTGTGGTCTAGTGTATAATGCTGCTTTTTTCTAGAGACAGTTAGAAAAATTTTGTTTTCTTTTGTCCTCCAGGATTACTGCAGATTATGGCATAAGGCTCTTGGTGGGGTGCTGGGTTAAAGGGCCTGTAGTGTATCCTTTACCTGATCCTAAATTTGACTGGAATTTTTGTTTCCCATTCCAGCATTATCAAGGGTTGGATACTGCTTATAGAACAAAGCCACATTAACTTCATACTTAGATAGACGTGGCCATTGAGTGTTAAAATGAACCTGTAGGGTAGCAAGGTGGGGTTTTTTTTGTTTTTTGTTTTGTTTTCCATACTGAAACTGTACAGCTTGGAATTGACATTAAGTGTCATGTCTTGAAATATCCCAGGGAGAACAGTAATATGAATTTTTTTCATGTCAGATGTTGGAGCTCCTTGTGTTTGGGTTTGGTACATTAGTGTGCGCTAATATATTTAATTGTTTTGGAACTTCATGTATCTGTGTAACTCCAGTATTGTGATTCTTTGTATAGAGATTTCATATCTAAGTACATATGCAACACTGTACTGTTTAAAAAAGTTTCTTTAGACTTGTATAGATTTCAGTCTTGCATGGAGGGTTAACTTTGTGCTTGACTGTACACATGAGAGGACCCAGATTTTGCCAAAAAAACAAAAACAAAACCATAAGAAAAAATGACTTTATATTAATGTGACGATCAAAAGGACGATAAAACTCATCTGGTTACTGTGGACTTGCATATGGAGACTATTGGACCTGAGTGTCTCGGTTAGCAGAATTGTTCTGCTGAAAATAAGAAATACATACTTTTATTTGTGTATTGCACATTTAGGATGGCATTTATCCTTATCTGTAAGCACATCCTGAATGGAAACTGGGGTGGGTAAACTGCTCTTCTAAAGATAACCTCAAAACTCTCCCTATTTCATGCTAAGTGAGACTTAGACTGTATCTTTCAATGGCTAACACTAATTCATTCTGCCTTCTGAGGAAAAGGACGCCTTACACAGCACTTCTTTCAGCTCTTCTGGGTGTGCCGCCTGATCAAAAGTGATTCACACACATAAAAGGTCAAGCAGCGAATAAAGTAACTATTATAGGCAATATTAAAACTCTGCTTAAAAGCAATGCAGGCTATTTTATGAAGCCATGTAGATTTATCAGTGAACATAATTTAAATGATAACACTTACCATAATTGTCCTTTATTTCTCACAGCTGCTGACTAGACACAAGCAAATGATCATCTGGTGGATAAAGATATTGGACTGTTAAGTATCTGCCTAATCATCATTATAAACGAGAGAGAAATATTTAACTCCAATCTTTGATTTTATTTTTTGCTCCATCATATGCAGTGTTAGGATTAATGCTTGTTGGAAAGAAAATAGAGTGATTCCTGCTTCTCTGTTATAGTCTTGCTGCTTTTTTAATAATCTAACAGTGCCTTTTAAAAAACCCCACTTTGTACAGATATTCATCTGAGTGACAAAGACCACTAGCACACTAGTCAGAATGCTGGCTTTTTGGATGTTGGAATTACATTATAAAACTATTGGATTGTGGAACAAGCTCTGTTAGAATTTGATTATCCAGTCTGTCCCACTATCAGGAATCTTCTGTAGGGAATAATCTTACACTGAGTCCTTTGTCTGGGATAACGTTGAATGACTCTAATTAGGTTTTTTAAATACCCTATATAGAAGTTCAAATCTTTTGCTTTCAGCAAAAGGCATTAGTAATACAAAACTAAAGCTGAGACGAAACAAAAGCTAGGTTGACTTCTTGAATTGAGTTGAGAAAATCAGTTATGATTTGATCTTACTATGCTT